TTTTAAGGAATTCTTTTATTTTTTTATTTAATTGTTATTTTTGTTAATTTAATTCTCTTTTAAATTTTGGGCATTTTTTTCTACGAAACTTTGTTTAATTTTATTAAATTTGTAGGAACTTTTTCTCAATATTTTTTTTTCGTTTTTTAGTCACTTTTTTAATTCTTAGATTTTTGTTTAAAAAAATATCTTTTTATTTATTTTTTTTTTTAATTTTTTCTTTTTTTTTATTTCAATTTGTTTTTCTTTTGTTAATTTCATTTTTTTTTAATATTAAGAGGTTATTGTTTTAAAAAGAAATGAAAATTTGTATTTCCAGACTTTTGTCTTTCGAAGACTATGGTGAGTTCAAAGACAGTTGCCAGAATTTCCCTGTAAAACGAATAAAACTTTAATGAAATAACAACCGACGCAGACGGACGTAAGCAAGCTACATTAATTACTATTGTTAATATGAAAACTTATGAAGACTTTTTCTATGAGTATATATTTTTTTTTATTTACTTTTTCAAGAAGACAATGGGTAACCCTAAAATTTGAATTACGAAGGAAGTTGTGTTGTAAGTAATAACCAATTCTATCACTTACACGAACTGAATGTTAAATATTTTTATGGACAGAAAGTATACTATTTCTAGTGACATTCATATTTGAGAGTATGGGCAACTCAGTTCAGGAATAAAATGCGGAACTATGTGATTCTGTGTAATTTTCCTCTGTCAAGGACTTAGGCACATGGTCAATATTGATTCAAATTTTGCGGAGTTAATGAATGTTTTCTTCGATGCAGTATACTTTTTATGTTACTCTGGTATTTGGGTAGTAGCTATTTGAAATAAATATATAAAGCCATCATTTAGCAATTAATCCGGCAATAAACCTGTATGGAATCTTAGTGATTTAGTTATTTATGATTCAAAGCATCGGGTCTATGCTTGAATGCTTTATAAATATTTACTAAAAAGCATTTACAAATTTTTTAATAAATATTTCACACCACGAAAACATGTTTTCTTTTTTACTTTAGCGCAAGGAAATTAAATTCGAAAACAAATATAGAAGCATATGTACATATGTATGTAGTCGCATTATTCAAACTTTTGCGGGGCAACTATATTCTGATGCATGCGGAAATGCGAGGCATGCGATGGTAGTAAATCATTGGTAGAAGAATGCAAGCGTAATAACGAAACAGCGAGAAAGGAAAACAAACCAAAAAAAAAACTCGAAATGAAACTACACAGAAGTGCGAAAAGTTAAATTAGACAAGCGCAACACACACAACAAAACAAAATAAATAGCAAAAAAATTACCCTAAAACATCAACAATGATGAAGTGGTCGAAAGACACACAAATAAATAAGTAAATGTGCGCTTCAT